TTGGATGATACTGCAAAATGAAGCCAAGAAATTTGTGAGGTTTTTAATATCTTAGTTAACTATTCTTTCTCAGCAGTTTAATACATCTATTACCACAGATTGAACCAGAAAGTAGAGAAGAACAAAGCAAACAAAACTAGGCAAGAAGGTTGATTTTGCTTCTCATAGAGTGAGTTGCGTTTGATTTGAATTTGGAGCCACACTAATGGTCACTTCAGCATTTATACAGCCATTTTACCTATTGCTACAACTGATGCTCTGGAATGAGACTGACCCTGCACACAAATGAACTGAGACCTAGGGTGCCTCGATGTACAGGGAACCATATCTTCAGCCAAAAGTGGACAAGTTATGTAAAAGGTACAGGAGATATCTGCCCATACCTGCATGATGATTATCTCTTTGCATGAGGCAGAAGCAATATTTGAACCTTGAACTTCTGTGATCCCAAATTAAGCTTGTGGATGAGCCACAAGAAAGGCTGTAACATGGACTTTGCCAGCATTCTTCACATGCCTTCTACGTTGCTGCAGAGTTTATGAAACAGGCTGTATTCGCATGGGGAAATTTTCCATTAGCAGGAGAACATTTTTCACTTTACAGGAGAAAAGCCATCCTAAAAGCAAATACTAACACAGCTCCTTTCTCTTAGCCATGTACACAGTTGATCTCAGCTATTGTGCAATATGCTCAATGACAGCCGAAAGTGGAACATTTTTTTTTCAGAGAGGAAGAAATTCCAGAGGAAGAAGATACTCACGACTTGCATTCTCTAAGCGAATTAAGCAGTTCAGAAAATCATCAAATTCAATCTGGAACTGTTCGTCAGAGTATCGGAGGACAATCAGTTGCAGCAGGTAGTTGTTGAGTTGGTATCCTTCCCAAAGACATATGCACAAAGGAAAAGTGAGCAACCTCATAGGCCAGGGAGGAATCTGCAGATCTCTACTAAGTAATCTTGAAAACCAGTTAATTGGAGGATACTCTGTGGCACACATCCATCCAGAAAGCAATCTGACCATTAAGTTCTTTAAGCTTGCAATGAATAACAAACTTTGAACAAGAAATTTTGCAATCACATGCACTTTTTGATGTATGAGGGACCATTCCAACTCCTTGAAATTTGGAGAGATTTCTGCAAAACTAGGTACTTTAATAAAAATAATTTGTGATGAACTACAAATGCACTGACTTGCACTTCATAACAACCAGCTTACTCACTGTTCCTCCAACTCTTGAGTGGAGATGGACTCTGAAGTGGCTTGTTTCAGGGTCTAACCCTGCCCATGTGCAGCCTTGTTGAGTTTAACGGTGCTCAATAAAAATGTAAAGATTGCTTCGGCTGCCCTGCAGGGTTGGGCATACCTGGGGCAAAATTAGTCCACTCAATGTCCTCTCTAGGTGCCCAGGTCCTCTCTGGAGTTTAGACCTCCTCTCTGTTCAGAGGCACCCAGCCTGAGTAATTGGTTGAAGCCCTCTTTATCCACAACCAATCTGCCTGATGTTTCCCAGATAAAATGCAGTGCTTGTCTTACCTGCAGCTTTAAGGGCACTGCGAAGCTCATAGGAGGACATGGAGCCAGATTTATCAAAGTCAAATTGAAGAAAGATATTCTGTTATGAAAGGAGCACATAGAAAGGTCAGTATTTGCATATGAAAGGGAGCAGAGATACGGCATAGAAAGGCAAGGTGTTTATCTCTAACTGCATAGCATAAGCATGTAAGAAAGCTGACAAGACTTTGGTCTAGATCCAATCTGAGTTTGTAACTGAGGGCAAATCGAGGTCCCAATTCTCTTTGTCATATGAATAGGTTGTTGTAAAACTTAAACAAGTACTGCCAAACCCAAGCATTCAAAAATAATGAGCTGCTCTTCATTAAAAAATCCATGATTTTTAAACAAATTATATTATCTGGGCAAGACATATTGGTTTTTGTCTTTTAATTTTTAACGAATGCATTCTTTTAATCTCTTTTTATGTTTTTCTCTATAGTTTTGAAGGTTAGAGACAAATTGTTTAAGATGAAGCTAAGGTTGTGTCTTACTCATTTGTTTCTAGGTATAAAACATCTAAACAGCCACATTCATGGTACAACCAAGAGAACTGGTACAAACAGTTTGCATTTTGACCTAAATATTAAATAATTATTAAGCTGGAGTTAAATTCCATCCTTTTAATGAGACGACAAGCAGACGTCTCCCTTGGAATATGAGTTATGTAGAGATGTCACATTCAGCTTAAAAATTTCCAGCAAATATACATGCAAATCTTCCTGCCGGATACAAGGATTTCTCAAGCCCCCTTGCTAAAAAACAATGCATCCTTTGTTAAAAGCCATGTGGCATTAGTACCCAGAAAAAGTGTTTGCCATTTCTGATGGGCTAGACAAGAAGCAGAGAACTGAATATTTTGAATGCTTGGGAGAAGCACGAATTCAGAAGAAACTATTAATGACCATGAGGAAACAATTATGAAGTCTTTATTTGAATATTCTGTCTGTGGCCTGATTCTGCAAGCCTGCTTATTCTTACCACCATAGACAGTGTAAGGGAAATCTGTTTAAAATTAGAATCAACACTTTTGTGGACTTCAGTACAGTTGACTCCTGAGAGATCAATAATGGAAATGCAGTGACTTCGGAAATTATTGTTTCCTACTAGTCATGAATCATCACTTTCTTCTTCTGTACAAAAGCAGTAATGGAAACTCCTTAAGTTTCATTTTGATTGGCTTGCTTATTAGTGCATGTTGCATTCTTTATCCCAAACATAGTTGATTTGCTTACAAAAATCTCTGTTATTTCCAGAAAGCCATTATGGTTTAGCATCATGGAAAGCTAAGAATGTCTTTGACTATCCAAAACAGGCCCCCATACTTTTAAAACATTTGTTTTGAGTTAAAATTCGTGGCTTGTAAACACTCCTGTCTCCATTTTTGTCTGTGCATACATAATAAACTATGCAGGAAATAGCTAATGGAATGGAGAAACAAATACAAGGAATAATGTCACCTACTATCCATTTCTTCATTTTTTCCCAGAAAACTTTGAACTCACTGAATTCCAGTTTCCCGTTGCCACTGGTCTGGTAATCTGAATTAAGGAAAAATATTTGTTACATGAAGGTCCAAATTCTGTTTGAATTTATCAGTGCTGTTCCTTTAAGCAGAAAATGTTAAGTTGCTTGGAAAGCCTGTGGTGCTGCTGAAACTGATATTGGGATTTCTATGAGGTGCAGCTCGAGCAGTTAGAGTCATGGCTGTGGCTGTGATACTTGGGGAACATTATGTGATATAAAAACACAGCTGAGCGATGCAGGCTCCACAGGAGAAAGAAAGACAGATTGTTCTAAGGCAAGAACAGCTTTGGATGTAAATGAGGTATAAATGATTCAGAGAATTAAATTACCTGATTAGAACAAACAGCTACTGTACTTGAAGGAGTTAGTCAACTGATGTGTTTTTCAGTATTTTTATCTAGAGACCAGGCTCTGTTGCAATGGCTCAACCAAAATTAATGGGAGTTGTGGGGTGAGGCTGGCAAAATCTGGTCCTTATGGTCTGAAAAAAAAGTCTGTATAGCAGTTCTGAGAGGCAGTGATTAGATCTGCCTGGCTTTTGCTCTGCCCGAAGCGTTGAGGGTCTAAATACTGTGTTACTGAGTTACCGATGTTGCCCAAGTACAGCTCACTTGCAGGATGGGGCACTTGCTCTGAAATGCTAAATAAGGAATGGGCCCATTCCCCTTCCCCTTTCCATCTTACTTGCCAGGACAAAGCGCTTGCTCAGATGGACACTAGCTCAGTGAGCATTTGGAAAGGTCAAAGCATGCCAAGTGGGGTCATTTAAGCACCTACACTGGTGACATTATTAAGGGCACCCACAGACTCCAAGGATGTTACCCCTCCTGCAAGAAGTCTGTCATATTACCCAGCCAGGTTCCTCTTCCTGGGGCCACATAGAACTTTGCCCCCTCTCTGTGCCACCGCATGGTGACTGTAGCCAGGGCATTTGGTGGTATATGACACGGAGGGAACTCTGCCAGTGCTGGCTCGGGTTTGCATTTGTGTCATTTTGCTCCTCCATTGTGCTGCAAATACCATGTCCAGCGTGGGATGATTGTGTCCGCGTTCCTTGTGCTTCCAAAGCAGAGGAAGAGATGTCTCCCCATTTATTCAAAACTATGCAGAGATTTGGTTGGAAGCATTGCAAATCATGGAAACTATTTAGTTATATCCTAAATAGTAAACCTAGGACTGCTGCCACGCTCCTGGCTCTGTCCCAATACCATGTAAGGATGAGATGTGAACATGGACCAGCTCACTACTGAAGCTTGGTTTTTAAGGGAGGAAATTTAGGACTGGTCCCCTGTTTCTCATTGCATATGCATGGTGACTGATCTGTACAGAATTTTGACATTATGGACACAGATTTAACAGGATAAAGTTTTGTCTGTTTTGGTTTTCCGTTAGAAATGTTTGAGAGGATGTTACCTCTGTCATGGACTGGAGCAACAAAAGCAGAAGATAAGAACTTCTCAGCTGAACAAGCAAGACATAAATGTAATGTTAGATATTTGCCTTGTTAGGATTGTATCTGTTTTGTCTCACATATAACAAAATCGTCTATCAGAAAAGCATACTGTAAAAAACAGCTCTACCTGAGGAGAAGCTGTGCTAGGAAAACTCAACAGGCACCAGAACGTTGCAAAGGACAAATCTGGTAGGGAAGTGGCAGGGCTGTGATTCATCTTACCTAATCTCTGAGCAGTCATCTAGCATCCCTCAGTTAGGTGCATCCAGAATGAGCATAATTACACCATCCTTTTCACTATCTGCAAAGGAAGTCTAGAAAGCTAGCTTAGATGTAGACAGCTACACCACGAATGCCTAAATTTGGACAGACAACTCTCACCCACGTGTCTGCTTCCTGGAGTTCCAGGATCTAACTGAAAGATCAGATTTTCTGTCTTTTTGTCTGGTTGTCAAAAAAACCACAGCTTTGATACCAGTAATTTTCAACACTCTGATGATTCTGTATTTCTGACCCATAACTTGCATGCAAAACTATGATGAGTTTAACAGACAACAGACTTTTCTTGAGTTATCTCTTCTAAGCCTTTTTCATATAAATCACAGCTTGAAAAATGCACTGTTCTATACAGAAGTAATTTGAGATTTACTTTTAAAAATGCTCAGCATTAAAGCATCTGCCTCTCAGTCTGCAGTAAAAATGGCCTGTCTTGAAGCTCCTAACCCTAAATTTCTAAAATAAAGATCAGGATACAGCTTTCACATATTTTTTTTTGTTTGGTTAGTATTCTTTCATGACATTACCACATCAATCTCTGATACCCATGACAGGTAATACTATGGACACTTATATTTGGTATTCACTTAGCCTCACAAACACTTATTCAAAAGGATACATCCATAAGAGAAATGATATTTCGGCATGAAATGAGACTTAAGTTCTTGAATTTGATGCTCTTTGCTGAAAAAAGACAATAATAAGAAGGAAGTCATTGGGCAAATCTGCCTTTTATAAACTGAAAGTAGAGAATACAATTTCATAAGCAGAGATAGCTGGCTCTTCGTCTTCATTGTGGGAGGACTGGTGCACTGGAAGACGAAGACAGCCCTCACTATAGGGAATCACAGAATCACTAAGGTTGGAAAG